GAATTAGGGAAACGTAGAAGCTACAAGTTACATAAGACAATATGGAATTTAATGGCAAAACTATTGCAGTAGAAAGCATGAATTTGACATATGATGACAATGCTCCTTGCATTAAACCAAAAACCTTTAGTAGACTTAATTGACATTGAATTAAAAAGGATCATATAGGCACTTGATCAATGTAAAAATTCTAGAAAAAAATAAATGGAAACAAAACGAAGGAATTAAAAAAATCCATGTTTTCATACAAATTAAAAACCTGAACAAGAAATTAACTAAAGTTAAACAAAACTAAGAAATTGAATCTAAGTTTAAAGGAACCTAAGCAAGAAATAAACAAAGGAAATGAATCAATGGAAGAAAAGAACAGGAATAATCTAGACAAAAGAAAACCTGAATATATACAAGAAGTAAACCTTACATTAATACAATATACGTCAGCTTTCACACAAAAATTGATTAAAATTTAGACAATTACTCAAATTTTAAGATTAAAACACGTGTGTCTAATAGTTCTATGATGTACATATATGGCTAACAAATAATATCTACCTAAGTTAGATAAAAGCAAAGGCCGGCCCAGGTCTTAAAAACTGATACACAACTTTTATAGCTGACTGGATCTATGTGACCTTCAAAAACCTTACACAGGTTAAAACATAAAAGTTTAGAAAGAGAGAATGAGAGTCCTATTTCTACTAAGCTCTATAGTAGTAGTTAGTTGCCAATATGTGAGAGTGGATAAATAGAAATTGCAATTCAAGTTCAGTGGAGCATAAAAGTGCATACTAGGGTGGAAGGTCACTAAAACAATGCATGTGCACTCGGCACGTATTTAAAAATTCAAAGTTTCAATTCGAAGAATATCTAGATCCATTCCTGGTATATATAGTTGGTACATGTAAAATGTACATGCTACATTTCCTGGTAGATATGCATACATTATAAAGTAAATGTACATACATGTCCTGGTACATATAGTCTGTACAGTGTACATGAAACATATCCTGGTGCAGATAAAGTTGGTAAATATTCTTGTCCTTGGACATACACAGATGGTACATGAATTGAACACTTTACATATACTGGTACATAAATAGCTGGTACATGTTAGTTCCCTGATTCTGTACATGACCCTTTCCTGGTACACACATTGTCGGTATGTACAATTCCAGATGCATGTATGTTACAAACATGGTTAGTACATATGTACATACTTCATTTCCTGAGCCCAAAACTTTAAACAGAGTATCGCTATGAGAACCAGTTTTAAAACCCGGGTTTCAGGAATGGGGTTAGGCAGTTTTGTGAAATTCAATATTATTATTACGAAATAAATCTTATTTAGTCTCTTCATATTCTCCATTTTTCCGGATCTCCTAGAATAAATCAACATCTGCAGAAATGTTAAAACCCCAAAAAGGAAACTCGGGAATTTCGTTCAATGATACTCTTTTAAGTTTTGCCCTCTAAGTCCGAAATTTAAAAGAGTGCATTGAACGAAACTCCCGAGTTTCCTTTTTGGGGTCTTTACATTTCGCTAGATCTTAATTTAAGAGATTCGAAAAATGGAGAATATAAACAGACTTTAAAAAAAATAATATTTCATAAAAAAAATATTGATATTCACAAAAATCCGGGTTTTAAAAGTGGTTTTCATAATGATACCCTATCTTAAGTTTTGGACTCTGGTATATACACATTCAGTACATGTATATTTCCTGTTACACCAAGTTTTGAAACCCGGGTTTCAGGAATGGGGTTATGCAGTTTTGTGGATATCAATATGTTTGTTTTGAAATATTTTTTTATTTAGTTTCTTCATATTTTCAATTTTTATCGAATCTCTCAAATCAAAATTTACAAAATGTTAAGACCCCAAAAAGGAAACTCGGGAGTTTCGTTCAACGATACTCTTTTAAATTTCGGACGTTGTGTTACACACATTGGCGGTACATATATATACTTATCTTCTAGGTTTATCCTTTCAATCTTTATACTTATCTTCTAGGTTTATCCTTTCCTTCTTTATACTTATCTTCTAGGTTTATCCTTTCCTTCTTTATACTTATCTTCTAGGTTTATACTTTCCTTTATATACTCATCTTCGAGGTTTATCCTTTCCTCTTTATACTCATCTTCTTCTAGGTTTATACCTTCCTTCGTTATACTTTCCTTCTAGGTTTATACTTTCCTCTTCATACTCATCTTCTAGGTTTATACTTTCCTCTTCATACTCATCTTCTAGGTTTATACCTTCCTTCGTCATACTTTTCTTCTAGGTTTATACTTTCCTCTTCATACTCATCTTCTAGGTTTATTCTTTCCTTTTAATACTCATCTTCTAGGTTAATCCTTTCCTTCTTTAACTCATCTTCTAGGTTTATTCTTTCCTTCTTTATATTCATCTTCTAGGTTTATACTTTCATCTTTAACTCATCTTTTAGGTTTATCCTTTCCTCTTTATACTTATCTTCTAGGTTTATACTTTCCTTCTTTATCCTCATCTTTTAGGTTTATCCTTTCCTCTTTATACTCATCTTCTAGGTGTATACCTTCCTTCGCTATACTCATCTTCTAGGTTTATACTTTCCTCTTCATACTCATCTACTAGGTTTATTCTTTCCTTTTTTATACTCATCTTCTAGGTTTATCCTTTCCACTTTATACTCATCTTCTAAATTTATCCTTTCCACTTTATACTCATCTTCTAGGTTTATTCTTTCCTTTTAATACTCATCTTCTAGGTTTATTCTTTCCTTCTTTATACTCATCTTCTAGGTTTATACTTTCATCTTTAACTCATCTTTTAGGTTTATCCTTTCCTCTTTATACTCATCTTCTAGGTTTATACTTTCATCTTTAACTCATCTTTTAGGTTTATCCTTTCCTCTTTATACTCAACTTCTAGGTTCATACTTTAATCTTTATACTCATCTTTTAGGTTTATCCTTTCCTCTTTATACTCATCTTCAAAGTTTCTTCTTTTATACATTTTTACATAAAATTTACATTAACTTTTTTTTATTTTTTATGTTTTCTATTTTCCTTCTTTACACAAATTTTCCCGGTTTATACTTTAGTTCCAGAAGGATCAAAACAACCGATCATAATTCACTTTTAGAATTGCATATTGTGCACTAGGCAGTGTGCATTATATGCATTCACACAACAATTTTCATATTTATGCATTTTTCATTCTTTAGTCTGTCCTGGATACATGGTCAGTTCATTTCCTGGTCTAATCTGTCCTGGATACATAGTCAGTTCAGTTCCTGGTTTAATCTGTCCTGAATACATGGTCAGTTCAATTCCTGGTTTAATCTGTCCTGGATACATGGACAGTTCATTTCCTGGTTTCATTTGTCCTGGACACAAAGTCAGTTCAGTTTCTGGTTTAATCTGTCCTGGATACATGGTCAGTTCAGTTCCTGGTTTAATCTGTCTTGGATACATAGTCAGTTCAGTTCCTGGTTTAATCTGTCCTGGAAATATGGTCAGTTCAGTTCCTGATTTAATCTGTCCTGGATGCATGGTCAGCTCAGTTCCAGATTTAATTCGTCCTGGATACAAAGTCAGTTCAGTTCCTGATTTAATCTGTCCTGGATCTATGGTCAGTTTAGTTTCTGATTTAATCAGTCCTTGATTCATGATCAGTTCAGAAGTTACAAAACAACCGATCATAATTCACTTTTAAAATTGCATATTGTGCACTAGGCAGTGTGCATTATATGCATTCACACAACAATTTTCATATTTATGCATTTTTCATTCTTTAGCCTGTCCTGGATACATGGTCAGTTCATTTCCTGGTCTAATCTGTCCTGGATACATAGTCAGTTCAGTTCCTGGTTTAATCTGTCCTGAATACATGGTCAGTTCAATTCCTGGTTTAATCTGTCCTGGATACATGGACAGTTCATTTCCTGGTTTCATTTGTCCTGGACACAAAGTCAGTTCAGTTTCTGGTTTAATCTGTCCTGGATACATGGTCAGTTCAGTTCCTGGTTTAATCTGTCTTGGATACATAGTCAGTTCAGTTCCTGGTTTAATCTGTCCTGGAAATATGGTCAGTTCAGTTCCTGATTTAATCTGTCCTGGATCTATGGTCAGTTTAGTTTCTGATTTAATCAGTCCTTGATTCATGATCAGTTCAGATCCTAATTTTAATTATTATTTAATCTGAACTGAATTCAAAATCAAAAAGTTTCTGGTTTAATATATTCTGGATTCATGATCAGTGGAGTTCCTAGTTCATTCTGTTTTGGATTCATGATCATCAAAAGTCATAGTTTAATTTGTCCAGGATTCATGATCATCACAAGTCATAGTTTAATCTGTCCTGGATTCATGATCATCACAATTCATAGTTTGATCTGTCCAGGATTCATGATCATCACAAGTCATAGATTAATCTGTCCAGGATTCATGATCACCAGACATGTGATTGTCCTGGTTTAATCAGCCAAGGATTTATGATCCAAAAACATGTCCTGGTTTAATCTGTCCTGGATTTATAATCCACATACATGTCCTGGTTTCGTGATCAATACGGTTTCTGGTTTCATCATTCAAGATCAATACTGTGCATGTTTTAATTTTTCATTGATTTATGATCAGCAGAGTAACTGGCCATCCTCTGGGCTTTATCCTGTGTGTACCAAAATAACGCCTTTAAAGCTCAGTCAAGTGGTCAAAGCAAAGAGCTTTCAGTTTCATTTACAGGACTTTTTTACTTATGTCATTCCCATTTTATTTCGAAGCCCTTTCGAAAACTAATTTACAAAATAACTTTGTGCAGCAAAAGAACGTTTTTTTTTACACTTGCCACACTACTTTCTGAAGGACTCATTCTTTAGGAAATGTTTCTTTAAATATTTAGGACTAAGTTCAAAAATTTAGAATCAATCTGTTTTTAAATTATATTTTTTCATTTTAAATAAATTAACATATTTTCAATCTTTTAAGATAAACATGATTGCATGATAATCTAAATTTTTGTGAGATTCATAAACAAAAAATCTTGACAGTTATTTATATCTTGCCATTTTATGTGTTTTTTCTTCGTTCTTTTTTGTAGAAATTAAATTAATTAAATAAATACACGTACATCCTTACAATATTTTTGAATTTTACCTTATTGAGGAAAAGCGAATATTACAAGTGATTACTAAATATTAAAAAAGATGGGTTGAAATCTTTTTAAGCTTTACCGACCCAACACACCTATGTCACACTTTGAAAAAATCATGCCATTAAATTCAGTCAGGCACTATTAACAAGAGAATTAAAGTTTGGCTCAGCAAGAAAAAAAATGAAACACAATTAAAAAACTCTTTAAACAAAAGTTTAAAAATCAATTCTTAAATTTATTGCTAGCCGCATAACAAATGTAAACGATTGTCGTCAAATTTTTCTATATATCTTGAAATTTCTTTACGAATTAGTAATTGGTAAAATATTATTACTACTGTTTGAAAATCTTTTTTTTTCACGATAAGTTAGGCTTGGAGAAAAGAGTGAATTTTTTAATGTTCAAAAAAGGTGGAATTCTTAAAATTGCACACCCCTGAAAATTTTTATAATGTAAAGAGAGAAAACATACAAAAATCATTCCATTGTTTTCTGAATATCACTGTATATAAATACAGCCAGTAATACCACTCGTAAGATGGATTACAGATAATCTTTATTATCATTGCTTTTCTTTTCATTTTCAATTTGCCACATTTTCGCAAATTCTTGTCAGATCTGTGCTGATTATCTTTAAGCATCATTTGTTCGAGCAAATTTCACTGGAATATTTTCACTTGTCCTGTTTCATATTACACATGATAGTTTGTTGCAAAAAAGCTTTATTATTCCTCCGGAGGTTCATAGTATCTACCTATATACAGCAGCATACCAGTAGGATTGTGCCGGACCAAATACATAAATTGACGCTCTGTACAAAATAATTATTACTTATTGATAAAAACAACTAAAAACAACTGAGGGTTGAGTAAATGAAGAATCAGAAATTGCTAAACTTATAGGTGCAGTTAGTTGAACTTAAGGGTTTTTAAGCCAAGTTTTCAAAAAAAAATTCTTGGGCCTATAGGTTTTTACAGCTGTAAAACAAAATTCTTTGAAATATCATTATCATTTGTTTATTCAAAGCAGAACATGAAATGAAACCTGCAGAACATCTCATTGAAAGAATCTCAAGTGATCATTGAAGTTTTATAATTTTTGTGTGATTGCTTACTTTTCTAGTGTGGCCGAAAATGTACTAGAAAAGTAGTTCAACAAGACAAATCTGGTTCAACTATTTCTCGTTATTTATCAAATCCGACCACAGCTTGTGTTTTGATTCAGTATATTCTATGAATATTAATACAATCAAAGAATTTTTATAATGTCGCCTTATATATACAATCGTCATCGTATATATCAATACAATAAACATTACCTTCGATTTTAACTTTTTATTTCTACCAAGCTTTCAAATAACATGGATACATATGAACATGGAAACAAAGAGAAGCTGTCAATTAACAACTTCTCTTTGTTTACTTGTGAACTTGTAATTTGAATTTTTTTTATTAAGAATCAAAACTTAGATGTAAAAGTCGTCGTGATTGTATTGATATTAAAGCGGAACACTGTATATAATTTACCAAAACAATAGCTAAATTTATGTGTTGAGAGCAATTAATAGTTTCTGAACGGTTTACTATAAAGAGTTCCATATTATCGAGCTAATGAAGAAAAAAAACATAGAAAACGACATTATAAGTGTTCTTTGATTGTATTTAAATAGATTGAAATTAATGTATAATTACAGTGATAACCAGAAAACTTTAGTATATGAAGATGACATTTTAGCAATACTGACGTGCATTTCATGTTGTTACTGAGCAAATAGATGTACTAGCAAGTTGTTATACTAATTATACTAATTAAGTGAAACAGTTTTGTTTACACTGCACATTTGTTGTGCCTCATATGTTCATTGGACTATTTTAAGTCACAACTTCAGTTTAAATGTCAACTTCCTATACCAGAGTTTTCTGGGTATCACTGTAAAAATAAAAGATTTAAAGTATAATTAATTATTTTGTTCCTAAATGTATTTGATAAGTCGGGCTTTGTCTATTTTGCCGCCGCAGGAAAGCGACAACGTCATCTTTTTCTCTTTTAGAATCTTTAATTTTAGGATTCTTTAAGCTTTCCATAAACACTTTAGTATCTATTTTCTCTACTTCTCCTTGGTGGAATTTTTCCTGGATTTTCCCGGATTTCTTGTTATGGGTTGTTGTTCTTCCCTCAACCTTTTCCACTGTCCCCATGTGAAAATTAGGTTTCAAGATCTTTCGTTCTAGATTGTTCTTCTTTATTTTTCCCTTGCTTTTGCCTAAGGTACCCTCATTACCAATATACTCAACAGTAGCCGCCCATTCACTTAAATTAAATGTCGTGAATAAATCTGTTAAAAAAAAGAAAGAAGAGAATTAATAGTTTTAAATACCTGTTCGCCATTCTAGAATTTCTTCTTTTCCGGAAATCGTCTTCCTCCTGAAAAATGTCGTCCTAGTTTGAAATGTGAATTGTTCAATGTTAAGCTGAATTTTTTATTAACGTGGACAGACAACTTTCACTCCCCCCCCCCTTGCTTTGCAACTTACACGTGTCTGAAAATATAACCTGATTATATAATCGATCAAAACAGAAGGGTAACCTGTGTAATATCAATTTGATTAATCTGAGCGAACGAAGAAAGCTTTAGATCCTTAGCTCCGTCAATTCCAGAAAAATCCGCACTAGAACTGTAAACAAAAGATTTATTTTAATAAATCTTTCAAAACTCTAACAATTCCTTCTAAATTGCTTGACAAGCAAAGCTCAGGTTGTAAAAAATGTTCTTAATAAATAATCCTAGATGCGAGGTTGGGCACTAAATACAGGGTGTCCCAAAAAACATGGGAATTCAGTGACGAATTCGATATCGTCTTTTCAAATAATTCTTTGATTTAGGATAGTGATACCTACTGAGAAAGCTGTAATCTGTAAGAGTTTCGTCTGCTATGTTTACATTTTGTTTGTTTATGTTTTGACTGCAACCGGTTGTACTTAGTAAAACAAGAAAATTACAGTATACAAACAGAGTAAACTTGTCCGTATTCACTGTTCATCATGCGGAGACATAATAGACCCATCTTTACAGTCTTTTACCCTTTTCATGAAATAAACTCTAGCAGACATGATAATATTATGGCTTTTGAAATTAGGTATTACAATGCTAATTCATTACAAAGACGATATCGAATTCGTCACTGAATTCCCATGTTTTTTGGGACACCCTGTATCATAATTAACACTTAATGGACCACGTTGATCTGTGATAACATCGGTTGAGACAACTATAATAAAATACAAGTATGGCAATTCCAAAATGTGGTCTGTCTTTTAAATTTACCGGAGTTGTTAAGATATTGGTTAAGAACTAAAGATTTTCATGTTTGAAAAAAAAGAATCCTTTGCCATCAATAGTTATCAAACCCCACAACGGCCATTAATTAGTTTCACCATTTTGTCATGTTTAGCTTGGGGCTAGAAGTTTATTCGTAATAAAAATTTGAAGAGATTAATCTAAAAAGGGATTTATTACCCGAAAGCACTGTTAAGTCCAAGTTCCTGCAGGGTAAGGTTTAAATCTAGAATTGATTTTGAACTAAACATAGGAATCTGAACATCTAGGGAATGCCGGCCAAACGAGCTAAAAATAAAAATAAAATAATTTATCAATAAAATCTCTGAACATTAATATATTTTAATCAAGGTAATATATAAGATATCTATCAAATTTAACAAATTGCAAAATCAGTCAATATGTTGGTTTCAAAATAGAGAATTTAAAATGGTGATTGGTGAATTAAAAATGGCGAATTCAAAATGGCGACATCAAACTGGTGAATTCAAAATAAAGAATTAAAAATAGTGAATTCAAAATGATGGATTATAAATGGTGAATTCAAATTGGTGAATTAAAATGATGAATCTAAAATGGTAACTTAAAAAAGAGAATCTAAAATAATGAGTTCAGAATGGTGAATTCAAAAGTTTTAATATAACATAATTAATAAAATAGAGTATTCAAAATTTGAAATGTCGGATTTAAATGATGGCTGTAAATGGGGGATTTAAAAGTGAATTGCAATTATGAATTCAAATCAGTGATAACGATCGTGAATTCAAAAAGTTGAACTCGAAATGATTGATTCAAAATGGCGGAGGTCTTATTTTGATGAATATTAACGGTGTTTCCAATAAGGGATTTCAAAATAGATGTATAGTGAGAGATACCTTAGTATTTTATTCCAAGCTTCAAGATCCAACTGGTTTTCCATTTTAGAAAGACCTCCTGCTATAAACTCAGAAACCTATTTGTTAATTCATTGATTATAATTGATTATCTCATCAATTAATAATTCAATTAATGACTTTATTGATTGATTGATTAATCGATTAATGAATTTATGGATTAATAGATTTATAGATTAATCAATTAATGATTCATTACTGATTGATTTATTGATTTGTTGGTTAGCTGGTTAATTGATTAGTTGATTTAATTGTCTATTGATTAATTGATTAATATTTTTTTTTGATTTACTGACTAGGTGATTCGTTGATTCATATATTAATAAATTTATTCATTTAATTTTAATTGATTTATTGATTTTTATCTCACCTTTCCGGGTAGCAGGAAAATTACGCTTATCTCTTTCCCCTGGCATCAAATAGAATATCAAAATCTAATATTTAAAAATCTAAACTTGTCTTAAAAAAAAACATAAATATATAAAATGCCAGCCTAACATTATATCTAAGAAATGACATTTACTCATGGTTACCCACAAACAATAAGACATTTATGACAACCTAAAACTCTTTGTATATTAAGATTTGAAGTTTTTAGGAACAGGGAACCGTAGGTGCAAGAAGAAAGTTTAAATAAATTTTGTACAGTCGTCGCAGTGGCAGAAGTCTCTTCCTTTATTGGTGATCCTGACTGTAAAATCATATAACTCGCTGTGAACCCGGTTTCCTTAAATCTTGGTTTGCCAGAGTTTGGGTTTCGTGTTTTGAAACGCTATGGAACTTGGTTGCGATCAGGGGGCGGAAACGTCATGTGTGTGTGTCTGTACCAAAAGAGTGTGTGTAAGGTTACCGTACCAAAGTTGTGTACTGTAGGTTTATACAGTACGTATGAATCTCGGTATTTATACAGTCTAGGAGATTAAATTTACTGATTGTTAATTGTTTACTTAAAAATAAGTTTAAAATGCATGTAATATATTATTTAAATATTTAAGTCAACACTCTAAAGCCAAATTTTCATGCAAAGAATATTACTTGATTAAAGTTTACAATAAATATAGTCGTTATTCAAGCTTAATTATAATTGACAACATTGTTCTGCAATTTCCTTGACTGTAATCATGTTGTGTGTCTATACCAAAAGAGTGTGTGTAAAGTTTACCGTACTGGTCTGCAAAGCAGTGCGACTGGCTTTCTCATGCGAGACCAGCGCCATTTCCTTTCCCTTTATTCCTATTCCCTGGTTGCGATATTATAACCACTTAGTAGAATGCATTCTTTAGGACTAAGACGACTTTTGAAATATTCTATTTATTCCTTAAGCGGAAGTTCTACAGCTGTCGTATCAAGATCTCCAGAATATCCGGCGTTAAACTCTCCAGTCCAGCTTATAGCAACAACAGGAACAAGTCTAGATACAATATTATTATTATTTTTATTATCATTTTTATTAATATTATTATTATGATGATTAGTACTATTATTATCAGTATCATTATTATCATTATTATTATTATTACTATTATTACCACAATTATTGCATTTTTATTATCATACGAAAAAGGTCTTGCATTCTCTGAGTTTACTCCTAAATGATTAATGAATCCTTGCTATTATCATTAATATTATAATTTTACCATCATTATATATTACCTACGACCCCTAGGAAGGTTAATAAACTGCATGGTAGTAACTGATCCTTCGGACTCCCAAATACCCTTTAAACAAAAATCATTAATTTCTTCATTTATCAATATTCTATAACTAAAAAATCTATCTGAGCTCCGGACACTATATGATTAAGAAGCAATTGAAATGTTAAGATAAAAGACACACTATTCAATACACTCTGATGATAAAGACGCAATATTGAGGACAGTCAAAATTTGACATTCGGTTTTATAGAAATTAGTTGAAAAATAAATCTTTACCTAGACAACTTTAGATATATTTTGTTCAGTCTTTTGTGAATCTGATACGGTACTTTAGATCAGGCCTAGAGTCACTTTAAATATAAATGTGTTTAACCTTGAAATAGTTAGTATCAACAATTGCTAGAGGAGGATTAACTCCTAGTTCCTGAATATCCTCCTCTCCTACAACCTCCTCCACCTGCCCTCCAGTCTGATCCTTCAGATCACCATTCAACAGCCTCATCAGGGGCTGCAACATTTATTTCTTCAAAATTAGGAATTTTCCTCAATTTTTTTGAAACCATAAAAATTCTATGTTATGCATTTTATGAATCAATTTCTTTTTTGCCATGGAAATTGTGATTTAAAGTTTTTCATCACAATATTAATAAATCATGATCATGATCATTCAGTATTATTGTTGTTGTTATTTCTTTTATTGTAATCTTTATTATTTTCATATTATCAAAATTATTATCATGTTTATGATCATTGATCATAATAACATCACCATTGACCATATTAATGTTGATAATTATTACTATTTTCATTTGCATTATGAAATATTATCATTATTGCTAATTTTACTACAATTTACCATCATTATCAAAATTAACATTAGCCTGGGATCATTATTATCATGATATTAAATTATAAATTGTGAATTACCTCAATTGGATTAGTAAAATCTATTTTCTCAACCTTTTAAATAATCATGATTAAAATGAAAATCTACAAATTTTTGATTCTATGAAAGAATGTTTTATAGTCAAATTCTTTGATTTTTTTTTCAAAATTAATCATCATTTTGATTATTACTACTTTTATTTTCATTTATTATTATTACTATTACTACTTAAATTATTTAATCATTATAATCCTTTGCATTATAGAAGAAGTTGACCCTCATCTTGTAGAACTGTATTGCACGCTCAACTTCCTGCAGTACAGGTATTGTTAAGTATTCATCAACAAATTTACACAAGAAAGATGGGGAAAAAGCGTTGAATATGTTAGAATCAAGAAGTATAAAATAGAAAGAAGACACAAATGACGCGGCCCGCCCTATTACAGTATTATACATGCTTTGCAGGTTATTGTATACGCGGTAATTGTACATCAGACAAATATTTCTTATTTAAATGGAGTGCCGTCTGAAAGCATGTATAATCATATATGGCGGGCCGCGTCATTTGTATCTCCCTTCTATTCCATACTCCTTGGTTAGAATGCGGTATAAAACGTACTGCAACTAACATCAATTAAATTTTGTATACTTAAGTAAAATGCAGTGTTTATGAAAAATCGAGCCGTGTCCGTATATTGCCAATTACTCCTTTTAAACTTAAGCAAGAAACAAGCGTGTTGCATTTTAAAATGTACATGTCTCGGGCTAAAAACAAGCATATTTGTGAGTTGAAAATGAAAGACCAAGGCGTTCCGACACTTTAAAGTCGAGGCTGTCCAAAAAATTTGATAATCAAGTATTAGAGTTGTCTATATCTCAGTAGTGGGATATTTTTGCTTAATTAGGCCAGCAATAATAATTATAAAAATAACTCTGTCTTAAAGGGAGTGTGAGACTCCAAAAAAAGGGGCTTATCTGATTTGCATATTGTGCCCTTTACACTTCAATTGAGTAACAATAAGAGATCTATCGTAATTTTTCTAATTGAAAACATTTTGAACTCCGACTACTTCTTTCGTTATCGTGAACCGCAAATCCGCAAGCCACTTTTATGCAGAACTAAAATTGAAAACAACCAATTTTCAAATAGAAACACGATCATAACTCAATTATTGATGCTCAGAAAAGGGGTTAAAGAGTATCATTGTGAATCGCCTCTAAAAGTATCCAATGACAATTTGAAAAGAAAATTACCTGAGAAATAGCAACAAGTTTACTTGTGCCACAAACAAATGAATCAGTATTCTTCACTAAAGTATCTAAAATCACAAAAAAAACGCTTAAAAGATAATACAAAAATTTACTATGCATAAGATTTTTGGAATACTTATCATAAAATAGCAATTATAAAGATATTGTAAAATTTTAAATTTTAGACACTGAATCAAAATTCAAAAAGTATATGAGTATTTTCTGCATTTCAACAAACAAATGCTGGCAATTTTGAAATTTCCATATCCAGGTCTAGAAAAAAATTACAATTGGTTTGGCAAGTTAATCCCAAGGAAACAAACTCTCTTAGAGATATTTCTAACACTGCAGAGGAAAACGACATTTACCCGGTCTACACAGGTAGCGTTTTATTTTCCTAGATGTGAACAGCTAAGAATTACCTGAAATATTTTTATAAAGAAGATGAGGGTTAAATGTAAACATTTCATCAATCTTTAGAAGCTCATTTATCTCCCACGAGGTTGATCCACTGAAAAACAAGAATTTGATAATGTTTTAGTAAATTACATATATTTTTCATTTTACACTCTCGGCCACACTGAAAAGTAAACAATTACTCATAAAGGATGAGACTTTAATGACGACCTAAACCTCTTTGAATATACTTAGATTGATTTACCACTTCTGCTCCTCATGAAGGTACATTAAATGATATTACAAAGACTGACACAAGTAGAGTACTGTAAGGAACCAAAAATGTTCCGTCCCGAAATTAGATTCCTACGTTACACATTGGTACAATATCCAAAAATCTAAACAATTACTTTAAAAAAACGAAAATCTCCTACCGAGCTCCCAGGAAAAGCATAGCTAAAGAGGATGTTGCAGCAAAGGGAGAAAAGACGACATTCTCTTCTGAATGCCGCGTAATAATATCACGGTACATCTTCAAACCAATCTCATTATTAATCTAAATTATTAAACCTATATAGTTAAGTGTATTTACTGTTGACAATAACGGAATAATTGATATTTTAGAAATCTTCAAGAAGTCGAAAGGCTAATTGCAGATAATATGACAATAGATCAATTAATGCTTGTTCTTTTAGGACCAGATTTAATGAATAGCTAGAAGTGGCTGAGCAGAATAGACGTGCATTTGAACAACTTCTCTATTGCGCCGGTTCATGATGAAAAGAATTTCAGTGTTCTCGCTATTCATTAATTTGGTCCCCAAATAACATAATTTTTAACTGAAACTGAAAACTTTTAAACAGACGGAACCAATTTAAATCTATTTGATACAATATCTCATCTGTAAGTGGTTAAACCACAATGCGGGAAATGATGTTCAGTAAAAATTTACCTGTTCAGAAAAACAAATTTTTTTTTTGACAACTCTTTCTCAGCATAAATTAAAGAGTTGTCTGACATTTCTTAAATAAACAAAGTGCAGTGAAGAGAGCAAAAGGAGGAAATCATATAAAGAAAAAGTTTAACCTCAATGAACCGTTTAGTTTCCTGATCAATCCCCTCGGTAGACTCTAGAAGGCCAACATTACCCTCAGGTGCAGCAGGAATACTCTCCTTGTTCATAAATACTTTATTAGAAGAGACCCGAACATTTTGTTAATAATATCGAACTAACGAAAGCATTTTATTCGAAATCATGATCAAAATGTTTAATGTACAGTGTGCCCCACAAAACGTTGATCAATTGTTTAAAATCTCCTCTTCCAAATGTTTAGTTGGTATATATCAAATGTATTAAAATGGAAGTCGTATTATAGTAAATTTTGATTTCAAAGCAAAATTTATTTGAGTAAAACATTTATTTTAACGAAATAAACTGAAAAAAGTCTTAAATATCTAATACAGTATATGGAAGAAGACATTCAAAACTATTCACTAACTGTTATGTTTCGTGGGACACCCTGTACCTCCAAATTAAGAAATGATAGAACGTTTGATATTAAAAAAATGTTATTGATTCTTTTAAAAGTGACAAAATAAAGTCTTACAAATATTGTTAAGCTAAGACCTTTTTACCTTGCTTTGAGATGGATGATGAAAATCATGATCATGATGTTCATGATTATCATGATCATGATGCGCATGATCTACTTCATGATGTTCATGTTCTCCTTCGTGATGCTCATGTTCACCTTCATGGTGCTCATGTTCTCCTTCATGATTATCATGATTTTCTTCGTGGTGCTCATGATCTCCCTCTTGATGTTCATGATGTTCATGATCATGATTGTGATCTTCGTGATCGCTGGAATTATTTTCAACAGTTGAAATATCTTGTTCCACAATTATGTTACTTTCTAAAAATCATATCTATTAAGTTTTCCTTGCAAAATATTTTCTAAGTACGTATATGACAAAAATGTTATCTGGGTGTGCAATGTGCATGAAAACCCTTTAAACAGATATTACGATCTCAATTTAATCATAAATATAAAAAGGTAAAAATGTAATCATTAGATTGCCAGCAGGAAGTGTTAAAGCTGCCCTTTGTGTTCCAAGTAAATGATTCATTTGAAGTACGTACACATGGCCCTCTTTAAGTCAGCTAAACCAAGTTGTACAGTATACGTACCGACAATAGACAGTAAGACGGGACAGTTCACTAAATGAATCATCACACTGCAGATAATTTTTAAAAATAATATTCTTAATCTGTAAGATATGATTAGATTCCTATTGTAATAATTCCTATCCCAGGTTTAGCCTGAACGTCAATATTTCCAGTTTTGATATCTGAAGCAATATCTATAGGAGCTGGAACATCTACAGGAGCTGGAACATCTACAGGAGCTGGCACACCTACAGGAGATGGAACGATCTCTTCCTTAAAGCTCCAGGGTACCATCTCTTGCACTATAAATTAAAAAATTAAAACATGATAAATGTTGTGAGGTATTTACCAAGACCCCCCCCCTCCTCAACC